CTGGCCGGGGCAGGGTGCGTTTCCTCGCCATCCTTTGTACGGTGCAAGCCCTGGGGTGTGTGTGTGTGTGTGTGTGTCAGAGCTCCGTAAAGACTAGAAATAAATGCCATCGGCTACTAACCCGACGGTGTTTTCTGTTCCCCTGCGACTCCGGGACGGCTTGGGGGGGGCGGCGGAGGAGGGTTGGGGGGAGAGGAATGCAAATGAAGCCCCTTTTCTGAGCCCAGCAGCTTTGTGTTATTTTCCAGCCCTCGCCGCTGCTGACAGCTTTCTCCCGTCTGCTCGCCCGGTGGCAACCGAGCCGGGGACACACGGGGCCAAATCCTGCCTCTGCCTCGGGTGGATCCGTCCTGAGCTCCTTGGGGGGGGGCTGGTGAGGAGTGGGATGGAGCTGGAGCCGCTCAGTCCCAAGTGAGCCCCTTTAGAGGTTTTTTTTTCCCCCAGTTTCTGCAGCCCTGGCAGCCAGCATCTCGCACAGGGCATCATTCCCTGCTGGCACCTTTTCCTCGGGTGGGTTTCCCACCAACCCCACCTCCAAAACTATTGCAAAGCTTTTTTGGGGGGGGAAAGGGGGGTGTAAATAATTCCCCGAGCAATCCCAACCTTTCTCGTGTTTGATCCCCAACCTCGGAGCCAGGAGGTGTGTCTCCAATTTCACTTGCCCGCTCTGCTTCTAATTAGAAAACAAGTAATAAGCCTGCCTGGGGTTCCTGTGGCCATGTGGATCACCCCAGCACCCTGGGTGCTGGAGGAACCTGCAGCCCCACCACAGTGACTCTCCTGCTGCTTGCTCCTCTTGGAGAAGAGACCAGGTGCATGGGCAGATCTGGGGTGGGATGGAGGGGGCCTGGTGTGGGCACACACACACCCCCCAGCCTGGACCATCTGCAGGGCTCTGGGGCAGAGGCAGTGCCCAGCACACCTGCAGCGTGACAGGAGGGGGAAGGACCGCCAGGACCGAATTTTCCAGCCTGGAGTTGGAAAACAAATACAAAATCTCAGTTTTCCATTTCACAACCGTCTCCCTGCCTCGGCTGAGGGCCTGCAGGGAGGCCAGCAGCCCACAGCCCCGCTGGGTGGCTTGGGGATGTCAGCAGTCCCCTCACTTGCCAGGCTGGGGAGACCAGAGGGCCAAAAGCTCATGAGCCTTGTGACTTCTCCCCAGGGGACCTCTTCCCAGGCTGAGGGGGCTTGTCCTAAAATCTGCTGTGGTGGGCTCTGGAAACTGTCGTTCCTCTGCTCCGGTTGACCTGTGTTTAAGCTTCCTCTACCAGGTCTTTTCCAACCCAGAAGCTCTGGGAGGAGACTTTGACACCACAGAAGATCTTGCCCACCCTCTCAGCAGTGTCACCCCCTTACAGGAGGGAGGTGCAGCAGCCTGGGAAGGCAAAACTGTGCTGGGCGGGTAGTGGGGTGGGAGAGGGTGAGGGGAGAGAAAGCATCACGCTCTTTCAAATCTCATCTGGGCGATACTGCAGAACTCATACTTCAAATCTGCAAAGATATTTCTTGGTAGAGTGTATCTGTTCTCAGCATAACTCTGTGGAAATATGCAGCTTGGTGAAAAAATGGGTATTTCCCTCTGCTTCTAGAATTCACTTCCTCCAGAGATACAAGAGGAGGGATCTCTTCATTGAAGTATTTTTAAAAAATCCTAAAAATCAAAGGAAAAATGAAACTAGTTGTTATTTCTTGTAGTGATCAATGTTTGCGTGTATCTTTCAAGGGCTGAAAGGAAGTGGTGACATATCATTGCAAGCTATACTGTCACGACAGTTGTTGTCATCGCCAGATTTCTCTTCATTTCAAAGTAAATGCTTCATGTTAAAAACTTTGTAAAAGAGGAACGATGTGATGATTTGCCCCGACATGTCTCAGAAGCCTGGCACAACGCTCACCCTGAACACAGCACCGGGACTCCAAGTGTGACAGGAGCACTGCTGCAACTTGTGTGTGCCCTAACTTCCAGTGAACGTTTTGTAGGGTTTTGAAGTGTGGCATTCAACTGTTAGGAAAAAAAAAATTCCTAGGTAAATTTAATTAATTCAGTTTGTGGCCTGACATTATAATTTGATGGGGAGTTTCTTCTTCTTTTTTTTTTTTTTTTCTTTTCTTCTTCTTTCTATCCTTTATTTTTTTTTCCTCCTTTCTGTCCTTTATTTTTATTTTTTTCTCCCACAAAGTGCAGAAAGTACAGTTTTTATCCCCCACTCATTCAAGGCCCAAGACAGGCAGTGTTCAGCTCCCTATTTAATATTCCTCCTACCTCTGTTTTTCGAAGGAAATGTGGATTATGCAGTCGCTCTGCTTATCTGTCTGCCACTTACCCTCCTCTGCTGACAACTCTTAGACCCTGTGGTCAATGCCAACCAGCATAGTTGGCATTGTTGGAGATGATAGCTCGGAGAGGGTCTCCAAGATGTCGAGTTCTGCAGAGCTCAGGAGTAAGCTGGACACACACACACAAACCCAGGAGACACCTCAGCTGCCACCATCCAACGTGACAGGAATCGGGTAACCCATAACTGGGGGGCAGCAGGATGTCTTTTGCCCAACAGCCTGCTGGAAGAGGATGTCTACAGGGGGGATAAGATGGTATCACGGAGGCAGACCTTGAGGAGGAGGGTATGGTCAGCAACAGGGCAGGGAACAGAAGCTATAGAGGAAGATGAAGGGCCTGGGGAACATGGGACAGCACCCAAGATAACAGCTTTTTCCTTTTGTCATTCAGTGTGAGCCCAAGCCTGATTTGTTGCAAAGAAATAACTGCTACCCTCTTATTTTTCTCCGGGACTTGTCACGACCATGTTTGAAACCGCTGGAAAACATGACAGCGTTTATCTTTATGGCTCCCACGGGAGTAATCAATTCCCTTCTCTTCAGGGGTGGAGAGCGGAGCCTCGGGGAGGTTCAGGCGGCCGCTGCGGCGTTACCCTCACACCGTGAGCCTCCGTGCAACTCCCCAGCCTTATTCCCCTTCGTAACCCCGGGCCTGTGGCGGGCACGGCCCCGACACCCTCCAGCTGTTGTCGCTGCACTGATTGCGCCTTCTCCTCCAGATGTGCCCGGCTCCGGGCGGCGGCGGCCGCTGCTGCGGGAACCGCTCTCCCCGGCATCACCGGAGGAGCCGCCGGTTCCCCGGGGGGGCGGTTTTCGGGTACGGGACGGCTTTGCAAACATTCCTTCAAGGAAAGCTTCCCCCCTCATTTAGACATTTATTTGCTCCCTTCAATTCCATTCAACTCTTTCCAATTAAAAAGCTCGGAGGGGGAAAGCATCCCTCTGGAAGGGTCTCCCTGACCTCGGTCTGCACGGCCGAGACCAGACCCCACGGCACCGACCTCTCCGGTGGCGAGTCCCCTCCTGGAAGCTTCAGCCGTGCTTTGGTGGGACCTGTTTGCCCCAGGGCAGTGCCTGCTGAAGGCACGACTCCCCCCCTGCCTGATCTCTCCGGTCCTGCCCTGGAGTGTGTCCCCCCGAACTCTTTCCCCGCTGTCGGAGCCCATCTTCGCCGTCTCGCACCTCCGCTTCGGGTGCGGGGCAGCGCAGCCCTCGCTGGCAGCTCCCTCCTCCCGCCCGCCGTGTGGCCGGGGACAGAAGGATCAGGCCCACTCGGGAGTCTCTGTCCTCTCTACAGGGGGAAAAAAAACCAAAAAGGACCGGGAAGGGGCGAGTCCGGTTGCCAGCACCCCGGGAAACCCGTCGAGCATCCCTGTCCCCAGCCCGGGGGATGCGGGGAGCGCTCCCCTCCTGGATCCGGGGCCTGAAGCATGCAGTCCTTTGAGGAAAAAAATCAGCAAAAAACTCCAAAGAATGTTATTTTTTTTTAATTATTATTACTATTTTTAAGCCGTCGCGGCTGCTCGAAGACGACCCGGGGTAATTGCGGAGGGTTCGGGTACGAGCATCCCGCAGCCTTGCGAGGAGGGGGGTGAGGGTGGGGGGTGGTTTTGGGGGTGAATCCCGCATGCCAGGGGAATAACAACCCCCCCCCACCCCCGAATCCCATGTGCCACTCAGGAAAACCCTCGGGGGCGTGTGTCCGCGCCGCAGCGCGCTCAGCCCCGGCCGTGAAAGCGCCGATTTCACGCAGGATCTGCTCCGCGCCCCTCTCCGCCCCCCTCCGCGCCTTCCAGCCGGCCCCTCCGCGCCTCCCATCGGAAGCGTGTGCTGAGGAAAAAAATAACTAGTTTCAGATTAATGAAGGGGTGACAATTTCAAGGCTAACGTTGGCACTGCCCAAGCCAGAGCGTGGGGAGCTCGCCAGGCTTTGCTTTATATTGTCTACTTCTCTGAAGAGCAGACAAAGATGGATAGAGAGACATTGAAAAGCGGGAGGCGTATTTCAAACAGCTCAATGAAGAGGGTTGTCACTTAAAGACAAGAACCATAGTGCTTTGATGACTTTGTATTAGCCTCACCGTTTCAAATAAAGTGACTCGGCTCCCTTTGCGGAATTCACCGAGGTTTTAGTAGATGACACTTCAGTGAAGCCGCTTTTAGGGACAAGGGCTTGTAACTGCGGGGC